TTTTTTTTTGGTTGCAGCCGTCATTGTTGTTTGGCGGGTCCGGGCTGGGGATTCGAACCCGCCACCTCAGGTGTACGTGGCTGGCACCTTAGCCGGTTGAGCCACAGGCGCCGAGCCGAGACTATGTTTCTTGAAACCTGAATGGAGGATGCATTGGGATTAGTCAGGTAACACAATGCAGGGAACTGGGAAAGTGTGCCAGGTAACCTGTGTACAAGCAGGCTTAAGAGTAATCAATAATACTTATACCACAAGATGTAATATCCATTCAATTTTAATTATGTTACCTTTATTATTTTACAATATATTTCAAAAAGTGCCATTACAGTTGACTTAACTTCTCTATATGACCTGGAATAAAAGATACCTAGGACACACAAACGTCAAGCTCTAATACCTACTGGTACTGAACCATTACTGCTGAAGGGACATAGTTTTTTAAATAAGCAGATGTGTGGCAAAGTAAACTAAAATACACTCTTGTTAGAACAGAACAGTAAACTTTGCTTTAATGGCTATGGAAAGGAGGTGGTTTTTTCTTTCTTCAACACTCTGGTCCTGGCAGCAAGTTGTATAGTATTATGCATTTAGAGCAATACGAGCTCTGAAAGCTTCTATTTTCAGTTTGTGCGTGTCACTTGAACCTGAGACCAAACACCTGGAATATCACCTCAATATCCTCAATATCTCTCCCTCCAGAAGGTCACAATGTTAGTGAACTCAAGACTTACTGACGATGATAGATTTATAATCACTTTTTTTCTAATGACAGTGGACACTTAGAATTTTCTCTAAAAGAGTTGATAAAAATACAAGGAAAACCTTCAGGATCAAATTTTCACTTCACATTCTCCTAGTAGTAAAATAGCAGCTCTACATGTTGGTGACAAAGGAATTTCAGTTTTTTCCTATTAGTTTTTACTCATATTAACATTAAAATGTATCTGGAGTTAGCTGAATTTCTAAAAAGAAAATTTTAGTTATCAAATATTTCAGAAATGTAATAAAGCATTACATACATTACCTACCAAAAATATATATATATGTAAATATATTTATTTAATCTTACCTTCACTGAAGTTCTTTTTTTCTGGTTGGACATGAGAAACAAGATTAAGTGACCAAGGCTGGCTTTATTTCTTTATAAGCAATCATGTAGGTCTTTTTTCATTCAACGAGACTGCAGCATTTTAATAATAAATTCATAAAAGACAACACAAAGAAACATCTACTGAATAGGCTTCTGCCAAACGATTCATGTTTTAAAATTAGACTCTCCCAAAGTGGCACTATGGCATTACAGGCATTCAATTTTTTTCTTTTTTCAAGTCTGTCAGTTTTTTACTACAATTATTTTTTTTCTAGAAGATAGTGTGTGATCATAAAGTAAGGCCTAGAGACCATTGACAGATGCTTGCAACATCGTGGTGGAATCAACTCTCCGGAGCTGATATAAACCAAAGTGGACAGTAGGGAACTAGAACCACATTTGGGCACATTCAAATACTCTCCAAAATCCTTCTCAAATGATTTTCTGTTAATCTTACTAAAATTATAACAAACAAGACTGCTAAGTTTTTGTAGAGTTGTATTTTTAGGGAACTAGTATGTTCAAATGAATATATTTTAATTTGCAATATGTCATTAGTAATATCCTTTCGATAAACATGGTTGGCAAAATAAAAAAAGGCACAAAAGAAGGGTAATGAGAAATGTTTTCAACTTTCAGTGAAGAGTAACAAAGCTTGCATCTTTCGTGAAGAAAAGCAGAGAAAAATGTTCAGTAATTCATGCACAATTTGAGCTACCAAAAAAACTCTTCAGATAGGTCCTGAGGCTTGAGGAGAAAAGTTTTCCTAATCACGTGCTTCATGTAAAATAAAATGTAAAGCTGCACATACACGTTTGGTTTTTACAGTGGACCCATGTTTAAAAAGTGAGGCAATTAAACGAAGGAAAACAAAACCAAAATACCTTCATAAACAAAGCGATCCTACCCGTAGCCTCTGTCCTTTTTACCACTCAGTGGGGGGTAAAATGTCCAATAAGATGTAAAATGCAGCATACGCAATTATGTAATCTAAAAACTTTTCATGATAACTTATTGCAAATTGCACTTGACAGTTCACCACAACAATGGAAAGCTGGCCCCTTGTTGGTTCACACAGTCCTTGAGCCCCAAATTGAAGTCACCAGTAGAACGATCTGGATAAAAAGTTTGCTGCTGTGCTCAGCCAGCTAGCTCCACCCTCTGGGTGTGAGCCCACACGGGACACTGCTTTGTCCTGCTCTTTTGAGGGACTCTCATCCTCAGGCAGGTAGTCAGGCAGCTCTGTGTTCTGTTCTACTTCCACAGGAGTATCTTGGAATGGGACCAACATCTGTTACAGAAAACAAGTTAAGCATTATTACAAAATCAACTTAATGTGATACATAATATGGCGTAAAGGTCAACTTTACTCCTCTTTCTAATTGTATATTCATTCCCAGGGACTCTATTCCCTGTAAAATTTGCCTCTTATATGACAGTGGGCCCAACTGTTGAGCACCGTATAAGCACAGAGAAGTAGAGCATAAATGGGAACTCTGAAGTTAACCCCTAGGAGCAAATGAACAACTCTGTCAATGTAAAGATGACTGAAGCCAAGTGTCTGACCACTGCAGGTCATGGAATCTCCCTTCTATGGGGACCCAAACAAGCTCAAGGTATACAGATTTATTTTTCCTACATAAAACTAGGGGGAAGAGTAGCAATAGGCAAGAATTTTCACCCTGAATCACTTGCCAAATGGTCAATTCTTTATTTTCTATACTAGCAAGACTTGTTAAGGTTAGGAAGACTTGTTAAAACCTCCATAGTTGACCACCTCCTTAAGTTGACCTAATTTTCATAGACTGCACATGCACCACATGTACATATCAGGACAGTAGGACTAGTTCCTTATGTTGACCACCTCCATACATTGACCAGTTTGTTAATAGTACCTTGGTGGTCAACTTACCGAGGTTCTACTGTATTTAAATATAAACATAATGAAAACATGTATCCTTTATGTCCACATAAAAACTACAAGATATCTCCCCTGAAAGAATAATTTTATTCCAAAGAGCAAACTCTGAAATCCACAAAAGATCTTGCTATATTTCTAAAACAGTTAACTGTTAACCACTAACCAAGAAACACCACATTCTTACATTTGGCAACTCACTTGTTTTGGAAGTATTGGCATTGTGCTAGCCATAAGAAACAATCAAGGGTCAGAGTTAGGTATGAGAAAACTAAGTAAATCTTACCTCTTCTCCACTTTCACTTTTCACAACTTGCTGCGCTTTCATAACCTTGGTCGATGCTATTGCTGATGCCAAAGCCTACGCCAGGATAAACAGGAACAATTTCAAACCTTGTTCAAGTACTTTCAATACTTGACCTGTTTACCTATAACCCCCCAAATATTCAGTCATTTAAAATACTAACCTCTGCCTTCAAATCTGAACGGATTCGCACCACACATCTCTGAACAGCCATTTGAAAAGTAAAGCTAATAACGCCTTTAATTTTTAACAAAGCTTCTTCACATAGATTTCTCCGAGACTGAAAAAGTAAAAGGAAATTGCTATCAAAATACGTAAAACAATGCAAAAGTTAATTAATACCATATTGAGCTAATCAATATATTTAGGGAGACAAAGTAACAAATGCACCTACTTCAGTTCTACCACCTCTTAATTCAAGGCATGGACTGGCGGGTGCTTAGTCAAGTTTATTAAGTTTTATAGGATCAGATCAGCAGACTTATAATTCCAGTAAGGTTTCTGAAGCTTCAATACTAACACGTAGAGTTAATAATTTTTATCTGGAAGTTAGCCAATGTTAATGTACATCACAAATCAAGCAAAACAAAATAATACAGGGGAAAAAATGCCAAAAAGCAGAGGTTCTTCTAGCTCGAGGATGGGCAAACTATAGTGCATTAGTTGTTTTTGTAAATAAAGTTTTACTAGAATGCAACACATCCACTATCCACTTGTTTACATATCACCATGCTAAAGCAAAGTGAGTACTTATGGCAAGAGACCACTGGGAGCCAAAAATATTTGCTCTCTGGCCCTATAAAGGAAAAATCAGCTTAAAAATCTATCGGGATAAATTCTATTAGACTAAAGTTAGAATTAGTGGGCACTCAATGTTCCTGAGTCACTATTCCTCAAAGCATTTGTTATTTATAAATACCACTGCATCCTTCATTTGTGATATTCTCAATTGTTACCCTGCATTCTCACAGGTTATGAATATCCTCTCTGTGGTTCTCATTTTCCTCTGATATTATTCACAGCACAATATAACATACGCTCATCAATGCTTCAATGCACTACCTACACTATCCTGCTCTTCCACTTAACTCAACAAATTATTCCAGCTCTGTCTCATCTTACCTCCAAGGTCCACTGCCTAAAACTAAGTGATTTTCTGCTTTGGTCCTCAGACTAATCTCATCACTTCAGCCATCACTATTATTACTAACTCCCATGTGACTTCCTTTACATTTGTCTATCAGACATATCCACTTGGGTATCAAGTGGTCAGCCATCCCAACACAAGATCTCAAGTGGAAATGGATTACAAACTAGCTGCATTTTCTCTTCACAGCTCACTCTACCTCCAGCCCAAAGACCAAATCACTATCTCTGAATGTTCCTGGAAAGGATCAAGATGGCCAACTGGACACTGGCAGTATGTGCCTCCTCCACGGAAAGGAACCAGAATAGTAAGTAGACTGCAACATTTCAAACAGATTATCTAGGAGAGAATGCTCCAACTCACCAGAAAGTGACCAGAAGCACTAAAAGCAGGTACAGAGAAGATTCAGAGCATCTTGCCTGACCAGGGGCTGGCTAGAAGGTGGGAAAGTTCTTGGATGTAGTGAAATAGTAAGAGAGAAGTCCCTAGGCTCTACCAGTCAAGACGAGCTTTTAAGATCTCTGCCGCCCAGGTCTCAGGCATACCTAAGGAACTGCTTGGAGACCCCAAAGGTACCCAAGCCTAGAGCAGCCTGAGCCAGATACCATTCTGAGAGCCCTGATACCTCTGAACTGCAGGAGTGCCTGCAGCCACCATGTAGCTTCAAGGACAGATGGAAGAGCCCAGGCACACCAACATGCCCCTGAGAAGACACGTTGGTATGCCTGGGCTCTTCCATCTCCACCACCCTGCTGTGGGCCACCTGTGAGACAGCAGTTTCCAAATTCTCACCCATGCTGCTGGGTGGAGCCCCAGCCTTTCTGGTCATAGGTCCCACATGCCATTCAGTGAGCAAGGCACAAGGTGTGGCCGTGCCCTCTGTCTGAGTTTGGGATTGACCTGGCTGCTGCCCCCACCTGCCAGGGGCGCGTCAGTGAAACTGGGCTTTCCAGCATGTTTCTGGAGTGGGGACTACCATCTTGCAGCACATAGCTGTGGGCCTGAAAGTGCACTCCCCTCGGTATCCCACCAGTGCAGTCTGCCTGAGAAGCTCAGGGCCCTTTTCTGGTCATTTTGGGAGTCTGAAGCTAGGCAGCACCCCACTCTCAGGCTGAATCTGGGCTGACACAGCCCCGTCCAACTGAAGAGGGACAAGAGAGTCCAAGCTCTCCTACACACACCTAGGACAATTCCCACCATCCTGCTACAGCTGCAGTGAGACTGCCAAGTGCATGGCACTCCCCCAGCATCTTCTCCATGCTGTCTGCCCAAAGGAGCCCCCCTTGGCCACGCATCCAACGTGTCATTTCGTTCATTTAAAGTGGGGCAGCCCAGGAAGAGACATGAAAACAGGGACCTCCCCTCCTCCACCCACCCTGTGCTTTAGACGTAGCCTTATCTGTTGCCCCCAAGCTTGAGCTTTTGGTGCAGATGTGCAGATGAGCTGTGGGACAACCAGTTCCAGGCTAGCAGGGAGCTACAGCCCCCAATGGGACTCCACTCACCATGTCCTGGTCCTGCACAGAATGGGCAGCTCATTTCCTTCCCTGCACAGACAGGTTATGTTTCCACCGACATCCTGACCCTGGAATCTCAGTCCCTGGGTCTCTACATTGCTAGATCCACAGCTAACACTCCCCAGCACCTACTCAGACCACAGTGGCCCTAGGAAAGCAGTGGGTTCCCAGAGAAGTGGGTCTCCTGAAGCCACGGCATCTAGGGTGGGCTTCCTTCAGCTCTGTGGAGAGAGCAGCACACATGCAGGCCCCTTAGGACAAAGGGCTCTAGGGCACTAGCTCCTTACCATTTCGGGCTCTCTCTCCCTTCTCCCCTAGGCCATCACTGCTGCCTAGGCACCCATGGCTACTTCCTCTCAGGACTGGGTTCCAGAGGGAACAGTTAAGTCTGGACATGTGGCAGTGGCTGCCCCACCTCTGACTGAGTATCTATCATGTCCAGGTTACCACAGGCTTGTAATGCGCGCGCACACACACGCACACACACAGAGTAAGCATTACGGAGTTCCCCAAAGACTAAAGATGCCACCTCCCCTGAGGGATGGTAAGGCTAGCAGTCCTCTCCCCAAGTTCCCTGACCCTTCTGGGAGGAACTTCCTATCCCTGAAAGCAAGTCCCTGGCACCACCAAACCTCCACTGCCAGGGCCTCTCAGCCACAGCCCACAGATCATCTGGCAGCCTGTGCACAGCCGGCCAAGCTGCCCCCACAGCCCCTGCTGCAGCTGGGTCTGGTGGGGACCAGGAATCTGGGTGCTTTTATGGCCTCAAAGGACAAAGAAAGGGAGTTGTGACTGTGCATCCCACAACCACCTGCTTCTGCTAATCTTGTCAAGAGGGGCCCTCCGCCCTGTCGCCCTGTCACCCTGTCCAGAGGCTCACAGTGCATCTGCTCTTCTCTTGCCAGACCATTCTTCTAGACCCAGAGATAACCCTACCCCCTTCACTATCACAGCCACCACCTGTACTCAGGGAGCCTTGAAAACAATTTTGCCAGCACCAGGATTCAAGCACCACCTAGGGGCCTGAGAACTGGGAGTTTCCTAACCTAGCATGCAACCACGAGCACCTAAACACTCTTGCAGGGGTGTGAGATCCAAATGAACCAAAATGCCAGCAACACCAGGGTGGAGGCCTCTCCCACTCTACACTGTGCACAGAGGTCCCAGCAGAGGAGGATGGGGGAATCCAAAGCTCTTTGTTTTGAGCTCAATAAAGAGGTTCCAAGAGGAGGAAAAAACAGTGTAAAAACTCTGGAAACATGAAAAAACAGGTTCCTCAACACCCTCAAAAGATTACACAAATTCTCCAGTAGTGGACTCCAACCTGACCAAAAGAAAATTTTTGAAATATCAGATATGGAATTCAAAATATGGATCACAGGTAGGTTAATTGGATAGATAAGAAAGATAAAAAACAAAACACAAAAAAAAACTAAAAAAATAATTCAGTACATGAATGAAAACTTCAGAGAGAGAAATAATTAAAAAAAAAAGGAAATTCTGTAAATGAAGGAGTCATTTAGGGAATGTCAAAAGACAGTGAGAAAGTTTTAATAGACTAAATAAAGCAGAATACAGAATTTGAGAGCTTGGGCTCAGAGCCCGTAGCACAGGGTTACAGTGCCAGCCACATACACTGAGGGTGGCAGGTTTGAACCCAGCCTAAGACAGCTAAACAACGACAACTACCACATAAAATAGCCGGGCACTGTGGCTGGCACCTATAGTCCCAGGTACTTGGGGGGCTGAGGCAAGAGGTCATTTAAGCCCTAGAGTTTGAGGTTGCTGTGAGCTGTGATACCACAGCATTGTACCAAAGGTGACATAGTAAGACTCTGTCTCAAAAAAAAAAAGAATTTCAGAGCTTGATAATCAAAAGGCTTTCAAATTAACCCAGTCAAAATTTAAGAAAAAAAATGAAGAGAAATGAACAAAATTTCTGAGAAATACAGGATTATATGAAGCATCCAAATATAAGAATCATAGGTAGGTGGGCATTATGGTGGGCACCTGTAGTCCCAGCTACTTGGGAGGCTGAGGCAAGAGAATCACTTAAGCCCAAGAGTTGGAGGTTGCTGAGAGCTGTGATGCCACAGCACTCTACCAAGGGTGACATAATGAGACTCTGTCTCAAGAAAAAAAAAAAGAAAGGCTCAGCGCCTATAGCTCAACCGGCTAAGGCACCAGCCACGTACACCTAAGGTGGCGGGTTCGAATCCCCAGCCCGG